CCGCCGAGGGCGGAAGAAAAAAAAGAGAGAAGAGAGAGAGAGAGAATGGCACCTGTGTTTTCCAGCTAACTTGGGGAGGCTGAAGTGAGAGGATCACTGATTGAGGCCAGCGAGGCTCGAGGCTGCAAGTGAGCTATGATTGCACCACTGCACTCCAAGCCTAGAGTGACAGAAGCAAAGAACTTCTGTCTCAAAAAAAAAAAAAAAAAAAAAAGCCCAGTGCGCGGTGGGCTCAAGCTGTAATTCCACGCACTGTTGGGATGGCGAGCGGGGCGCGCGCGGATGGGGCGGCACGCGAGTGCGGCGGCCATACGCAGCGCTCAGAGATCGGCATCCTGGCAAACACCGGTGAAACGCCTGTCTCCTAACTAAAAAATAAAAAAACTACCGGCGAGGTGTGCGCCGCGCCTGTAGTCCCCAGCTGCTCTGGAGGCTGAGGTAGCGAGAATGGCGTCGAACTCTGGAGGCGGAGCTTGCCAGCTGAGCTGAGATCGGCCATCTCGCACTCCAGCCTGGGCGACAGACGAAGACTCCATCTCAGAAAAAAAAAAAAAAAAAAAAATCAGTGCTATGTTTAGAACTCAAATGTATGTCTGGCAAAATCGCAACAAGAACAAAATATCAAAAAATGCAAATAAGGGAGGCATGACACCAGCCTTTTCTGACTTTTCTTTTTGCCTAAAGGTCCAACATGGCTTTGGCATGGCAACTGAGCCAATCGGTGTGCTAAAAAAAAAAAAAAATCCTCTAGCCCAGTTTTTGGGCCGGTGCCAGACTTTTATTCTGAAGCGTGGGCCACAACCTATGAGGTAATCTTTGGAGCTTCATTCTGAGGCGGAATCCCATTGGCCAGTTGGGGAAGCCCCTCCCAGGATTCCTGGCGCTCTGCCTTCCCCGAAGCCTATAAAAGCGCAGGTCCCTGCCTCGGCAGCCACGGGACACCTGCATCTGCCAACAAGACTGGAAGCAGGTGAGGCACACAGAGGGGGAGGCCCGCAGCTGCGTGGGAGGAGGGGTGGTCTGAGGGACATGGGATGCCGGGAATTAGACTGGTTTGCAGGTCGGCGCATGGACATTTTCCCAGGAACGGACAGAGACAGCAAAGTTTGACGGTCTGGAAAGCAGAAATCAGTGGGGCTGACTGCTTGGGAGGTAAGTTCTGGGGACGTGGTACAGGGTGAGGAGCAGGTATCAGTGCTAGTTGCGACCCCTCCGTGTCTCCCCCTCCCAATGCCATTCTGAAGCTCCCCAGGAAGAAGCTAGGAGGGGAAATAAATTGAGTGGGGGTGGGGTTTCCCAAGAATCGGAGGAACCGAGAACGAACAGGGGTGGGGGAACCGGGAAAGAGAGAGAGGAAAATCAAGTTTTCTTCAGCACGAGGGACAGCTCTCCCCCGACCAAAGGAGGAGAATGCTATTTATTTCAGCACCAAGTATACGGACAGCGCCTCTCGGGGGTTCCAAGGAGAGAACCGCGATCTGTTTCAGCACCGGGGCTCAGGACAGTTCCCAGAGGGCTCCGTTTCGGCGCCGGAACCCTGGACAACTCCCCCAGGTAACGGGAGAGCCCTTTGACCCTGATTTTGCAGGAGGAGGACGAGAGAGGGTGGTGTGAGGTGCCTGGCATTTCTGGAGACCTGGCCCTCATGTAATGGATCTTTAAACAAAGTACTTTCCAGATAAGCACACACACAAGTCTGCAATTTTCTTTTTTTTTTTTTTTCGAGACGGAGTCTTGCTCTGTTGCCCAGGCTGGGGTGCGCCTGGCCTTTTTTTTTTTTTTTTTTTTTTGAGACAGAGTCTTGCTCTGTCACCTAGGCTGGAGTGCAGTGGTGCAATCATAGCTCACTGCAGCCTCGACCTCCTGGCCTCAAGTGATCCTCTCACCTCAGCCTCCCAAGTAGCTGGAACCACAGGTGCCATTCTCTCTCTCTCTCTCTCTCTCTCCCCTCCGACCCCTCTCTCTCTCTCTCCTCCCCCTCTCTCTCAGAAACGGGGTCTCACTGTGTTGCCCAGGCTCATCTTGAACTCCTCAAGTGATCCTCCCACCTTTGCCTCCCGAAGTGCTCAATGGCATGAGCCATTGCACCTGGCCTGAAATACTATTTATCTTGATTATTGAGTTTTTTGGTGTTCCTTTAAATTTTGCACCTGAGGCCAGTGCCTCACTCAAGTCATTAGCGCCTGCCCTGATTATTTCCAACATGCAATCCACACCATATCATTAATTCCTCATCAAACGCTCTACTATTACCACTTTACAGTTGCAAAAAGTGAGGCACAACTGTGCCCAATGTCCCAAAGGAACGAGAAGAAAAATCTGAATTTGAACCCCAGCTTCTTCGTTTTTTGGTTCAGAGCCTGCCCAGTATAGCACTACAATAAGCTGAATTTTATAAGTTGGGTTTTGAGTCAAGGAATCAAAAGCTTCAGGCTTAAGTCCCATCTCTGCCCCAGAGTCTTCTGAGTCCTCCATTTTCACAGACGTCAAGTTGCCCTAGGTGGAACTGGACTTTAATATTCTCAACAGTCCTTATTTTTCCCAAAACAGTTTACCAGCTTTTTCTTTCCTCAACCAGGAGCAATCGCAAAAATTGGGAATGCGAAGAAACAGGTACCAGCCAGGACACCTGAACCAACTTGGAGCTCAGGAACCCAGGAGGGGATTGGAGAGAGTGCGGAGACTCCGTGGTCCACAATGAATGCTCCTTCCCCATCCAAAAAAAAAAAAAAAAAAATCCTCTAGCCCAGTTTTTGGGCCGGTGCCAGACTTTTATTCTGAAGCGTGGGCCACAACCTATGAGGTAATCTTTGGAGCTTCATTCTGAGGCGGAATCCCATTGGCCAGTTGGGGAAGCCCCTCCCAGGATTCCTGGCGCTCTGCCTTCCCCGAAGCCTATAAAAGCGCAGGTCCCTGCCTCGGCAGCCACGGGACACCTGCATCTGCCAACAAGACTGGAAGCAGGTGAGGCACACAGAGGGGGAGGCCCGCAGCTGCGTGGGAGGAGGGGTGGTCTGAGGGACATGGGATGCCGGGAATTAGACTGGTTTGCAGGTCGGCGCATGGACATTTTCCCAGGAACGGACAGAGACAGCAAAGTTTGACGGTCTGGAAAGCAGAAATCAGTGGGGCTGACTGCTTGGGAGGTAAGTTCTGGGGACGTGGTACAGGGTGAGGAGCAGGTATCAGTGCTAGTTGCGACCCCTCCGTGTCTCCCCCTCCCAATGCCATTCTGAAGCTCCCCAGGAAGAAGCTAGGAGGGGAAATAAATTGAGTGGGGGTGGGGTTTCCCAAGAATCGGAGGAACCGAGAACGAACAGGGGTGGGGGAACCGGGAAAGAGAGAGAGGAAAATCAAGTTTTCTTCAGCACGAGGGACAGCTCTCCCCCGACCAAAGGAGGAGAATGCTATTTATTTCAGCACCAAGTATACGGACAGCGCCTCTCGGGGGTTCCAAGGAGAGAACCGCGATCTGTTTCAGCACCGGGGCTCAGGACAGTTCCCAGAGGGCTCCGTTTCGGCGCCGGAACCCTGGACAACTCCCCCAGGTAACGGGAGAGCCCTTTGACCCTGATTTTGCAGGAGGAGGACGAGAGAGGGTGGTGTGAGGTGCCTGGCATTTCTGGAGACCTGGCCCTCATGTAATGGATCTTTAAACAAAGTACTTTCCAGATAAGCACACACACAAGTCTGCAATTTTCTTTTTTTTTTTTTTTTTTCGAGACGGAGTCTTGCTCTGTTGCCCAGGCTGGGGTGCAGTGGCACGATCTCGGCTCACTGCAACCTCTGCCTCCCGGGTTCAAGGAATTCTCCTGCCTCAGACTCCCGAGTATCTGGGATTACAGGTACCGCCACCACTCTTGGCTAATTTTTGTATTCTTAGTAGAGACGGGGTTTCACCATGTTAACCAAGCTGGTCTCAAACTCTTGACCTCGTGATCCGCCCGCCTCAGCCTCCCAAAGTGCTGGGATTATAGGCTTGAGTCACCGCACTTGACCCAAGTCTGGAATTTTCAACAGGTAAGATGCCTCACTGGGGTAACAGGTGCCTGCTAAGATGACATTATGGTGTCCCTTCCAGACTTCAGTGAGGAACCTTGTGCCAAGCATTGTACATACAGCATATCATGCCATCTTCAACCCTAGGACATGGGTGTTACTGTGCCCAGGTGACATTTAGGGAACCCAAGGCCCCGAAAAAGGCAGAAAAATAACCCACGCAGGGGCTCTCAGCCCACAAGTGAAGCTGTAAGTCAACCCCATCCGTCCAACTCTAAATCCCATGTCTCTGACGTGCCTGGGTGGGAGTTGGGCCCTTGGAGATCAGACCCTGCCTCTCTCCAGGAGAACCGGGAATGGAAAACAGGGAGGCAGCACAGAGGCAGGAAGCCCAGGTGTCACAGCTTGGCTCAGGTGAGAAGGAGGAACTGGGCAGCGATCTCAGACATGGGGCAGGGGGTGCTGAAGAAGATTAGAGTGGCTATGGTCTAGTGCTGTGTGGAAGACTAGTGATTTTGTTGTTCTGATGTGCTACGACAACAAGTCACAGCCGGCCTCATAGCGCAGACTCCCTTCGACCTTCGCCTTAAATGGGCTGGCCCGTGGGGGAGAACCGGGGAGGTCGGGGAGGAATCGCTTCTACTTGGAGTGGGGGCTGGCTCACTCCAGGGGATACAGGCACAGGCAAGGAAGGGAAGCAAACAAGGACATACATCCTGTGCTCATACAGCCACGGACCATGTATGGGGTTGGTCACATCACTCGGACGCCCCCACAAGCCTGGAGATAGAAAATACCTGACTCTAAACCCAAGACCTCTAACCACCTCATGGCGCTTTCCTGGGGGACTCAATGAGGGAATGGCATTTAAAGCCCTCCATAGACCAGGGTTCTCAGGGTACTTTTCTATTAAAAAAAAATTTTTTTTGGCTGGTCGTGGTGGCTCATGCCTGTAATCCCAGCACTTTGGGAGGCTGAGGCAGGTGAACCACTTGAGGCCAGGAATTCAAGACCAGCCTGGACAACATGGTGAAACTCCATTTCTCCTAAAAATATAAAAATTGGGCATTGTGAATCACGCCTGTAGTCCCAGCTACTCGGGAGGCTGAGGCATAAGAATCCCTTGAACCCAGGAGGCAGAGGCTGCATGACCAAGTTTGTACCACTACACTCCAGCCTGGGCAACAGAGAGAGATTCTGTCTCAAAAAACATTTTTTTTTTTTTTTTTGGAAAGACACGGTCTCCTGCCTCAGCCTCTCAAAGTGCCAGGATTACAGGCGTGAGCCACCAAACCCAGCCTAAGGGTACTTTTCAATAAAAGTTCCAGAAGTGGGCTGGGTGTGGGAGCTTACACCTGTAATCCTAACATTCTGGGAGGATGAGATGGGAGGATTGCTTGAGCACAGGAGTTTGAGACCAGCCTGGGCAATATAGTGAGACCCCGTCTCTACAAAAAATGTTTTGTTTTTTTGTTTTGTTTTGTTGTTTTGTTTTTAATTGGCTGGGTGAGGTGACACATGCCTGTAGTCCCAGCTACTTGGGAGGTGCGAGGAACACTTGAGCCTGGGAGGTCAAGGCTGCAGTGAGCCGTGACTGCACCGCTGCACTCCAGACTGGGCAACAGAACAATACCCTGTATCAGAAAAAAAAAAAAGTTTCAGAAAAGATTATTTTCCTGTCTGCTACCCATCAGTGTCATAGGCCAATCATAGGACAAGTGTGAACTTGTGCCCGGTGGTGACTTAGGACATCATAAAGGCTCACCTCTTTTGCCAGGTGTGATGGCTCACACTTGTAATCCCAGCACTTTGGGAGGCCAAGGTGGGAGAATAGCTTGAGCTCAGGAGTTCGAGACCAGCCTGGGCAACATAGCAAGACCTCATCTCAATAAAAAAATAAATAATAAATAAATAAAAAAGACTCACCCCCAATTCTCTGCAACACCCTAATCGAGTGACAAACTCCACATGGTACCTGTTCTCCAGCCTCAGGGCTTTTGCCTTTGCTGTTCCTGCAGCTTGGAATGTACTCCCCCCACCTCCACCCAGAGCTCCCCACAACTGACCCTGCCTTCTTCTGCAAGCTCCGTTTCATCAAAGGAAATGATCCTTATTGCCTCACCATTGCCCACGTGAAGTCTGTATTGACATTCTCATAGACCTAGGATATTGTATCTGCAGCACATAGTCCAGTTATTTTCATGTTATCTACTGACAGGTCTATTTGTCTCCCTGTTACACTGTGATCTCCGTGAGGACAGAAACAAAGTTTGTATTTTCACTGCTGTGTCCCCAGTGCCTGGTCCAGGGCCCAGCACACAGCAGGCGTACAATAAGCATGTGTTGAATCAATAAAGGCATCAAAGAATAAACCAATACATCAATCAATAAATGAATGAATGGCCTCAGCAAACACAGGAAGATCCTTCTTCTAGGTCTCCCCCAGAGAGATACCGGAGAGCGATGGTTGCTGCAGGTGTTTATTGGGGAAGCATAATTGAATTTGTGGACACTTAAGGGCCGGCCAGCCAACTCATAGCCCCAAGAGAGAGAGCCAGGCTCATTTAATTAGCAATTACAAGGCATTGATTCCTTATTCGCTCTGGCAACCCTTGTCTCCCTCCTCAGCCCCAGACAAATGAAATCTTTCTCTCTCTCCCAGGAGGACTGCCTCAGTGGGTCTATTAACAAGCAGAGAAAATGAGATTAGAAGACACCTAAATGCCAGAGGCACTTTATGAATGGGCTGAGCAGTGGGAGGTTCAATGTCTGGGTTAGGTCTAATTGTGGGAGTTTTCCTGGTCTATTTAGAATTGCCCCCTGGGAATGCAAGGTCTTTCAGAAAGGAAAAGGCACACAGATATTGCCTTTTGGGGTCCTCAATGGAGGAGGGCATTCTACTATGGGTGTGGCGAGTCTCTCCTACTTTTTTATTTTTCTGAGAACCGGACGTCTTGCTCTATTGCCCAGGCCTGGCGTGCGTGGTGCGATCGTCAGCTCAGTGCAAACGGCTCTTGCCTCCTGGTTCAGCAATTCTCCCTGGCTCAGCTGCCGAGCTACGCTGGGACGTACGGCTCGCAAACCCACCACGAGCCCAGCTTTTTTTTTTTTTTTTCTTTTTTTGTTGCATGTTGCTTAGTAGAGCACCGGCGGTTTCCCTGTTTAGGCCAGGATGGGTCCTCAATCTCTTTGACCCTAGTATCTGCCGCCTCGGTCCAAAGTGTGGCTGGGATTATAAGCGTGAAGCATCACACCGGCTCTTTTATATTTTTTTTTTTTTTGAGTCGCGCGGTCTCACTCTGCACCCAGGCTGGAGTGCCAGTGGTGCGATCTGGCTCACTGCAACTCTTGCTTCCCAACACGCTCAGGCGATCCTCTCACCTCAGCTCTTTAGAAGCTGGGACTACAGGCTTGTGAACCATCACAGTGGTTTCAAGCAATTTTTGTTTTTGGTTTTGTTTTCTGTTTTTGTATCGTTGGTCAACGGAAAACAGGGGTTCACCATGTTTGGCCGGCTTGGTTCCTGAAACTCCTGAGCTCAAGCAACTCCACCTGCGTGGCTTCAAGTGTGGAATTGTCGCAGACAGGCATGCCATCGATCGCCAGTCTCTCTCACATATTCTTTTTATTTATTTTTTTTTTTGAGACAAGATCCTTGCTCTGTCCACCCAGGCTGGACGCGCCGCTGCAACACGCGCTCACGCAACAGCAATCCACACCCTCTCGGGTTTGTTCACATTCTGTAGCTCGAGTACTTGGGACTCACAGGCGCCGCTACAACCGCCGGCTTATTTTTTTGTTATTTTTAGTAGAAGCGACGTGGGTTTCCATCGTGTTTAGTCAGGACTGGTCCTTCGCATCTCTGACATCACGTGAGATCTGCTGCTTCCGGCCCCACAGTGCTGGATTACAGGCATCCCGGCCAACTAGCACGCGCCTCTCAAATTTTTTTTAAGAGAGTCTCTCGCTCTTCAGCGTTTGCGAGTCACGGCGGCGCGCGCGATCATAGCCAGTGTAGCTCTGACTCTTGCAACATTCTTCCTCTCACACAGTGGCTGTGACTACAGAATGTGCACCACACTTTTTTGCCACCAGACACACCACCTCTTTTTTTCCACACGAGACACCACACAGCAAACCAGACAAACGCAACCGCTCTCACATGTGTTTCTTCTGTTCCGTCAACGTTAAACCAGCATCAACAGCAAAGCCACAGGAGGTCGGGATGGAAACTCATTCACTTTCTTTTAAGTTTCTAAAGCGCATTGGGCTAGGCAGGCTGCAAAGTGGGTTCCTTGGCGGGTGGCTGGGAGAAGGGCGGTAAAACTTGGTGGGGGCCTCCGTGGGTGATGATCATCTTTCTTTCTTTTTTTTTTTTTTGAACGAGCTCGCCTGTCGCACACAGCTGGGAGTTGCAGTGCCGGATTCTCAAGCTCACTGCACAAGATCCGCTTCCCGGGTTCGCATTCTGCGTCAGCTCCGAGCTAGGCTGGACTACAGGTCGCCACCTGCCTTGGGCTAGTTTTTTTTGCGTATTTTTTTTAGTAGAGACCGCGGGTTTCACCGTGTTAGCCAGGTGTTCTGCGATTCTCCTGGACCTCATGATTCCGCCGTCTCCGGGCCCCAACAATCTGGGATTACAGGTGGTTGGACGCACCGCGCCTGGCCGTGGCTTCATCTTCTACAGGGGTTCGTGATGGCTCCAGGTCTGTGTCTGATGAAGTGAAATGGGTTCAGGCAGCAAGCATTTATCACCAAAAGTGATCTTGGATCGCCAGTGCTGGAGGCTAGGCATGTGTGTGAGGAGGAGGCAGGGTGACGACCAAGCATGAAACTGCCAGGAAAGAACTGAGGGCTCCAGGGGTTTTATTTGGGGGGGAAATCAAAAAGTGAGTGGGGCTTTTTAATAAGAATCAATAAGGGGCGGACGGGTGCGGTGGTCTCAACGTCTTATAATCCTAGCACTTTGGAGGCGAGTTGAGTAGATCACTCTGATGTCTGGAGTTCACGAGGCACTGACCACATAGAGAT